GAAATAATAAATTACCTATTGGCATTTGGAAAAACAAATTAACACTGGGACTACATAATATCATAAGTTATAAGCAATTAACATTCGAATATTCGATAATGCTGTTAAAAATTTGGGGGTGCTAAGCACCCCCAAGCACCCCCCAAATTGCGCTTATGCTTGTTTGGCTTTTTATTATTATTACGATCGTTTCATTAACAAGATTGSGTAATTTTTTTTTTAATCAGACATTGTATTCTTTCATTTTTTTTTTATTTTTTTTTGATGTATTGAAAAGGTAAACTATGGTATCCAAAAAATTTTAACTACATGGTCGCAAACAAATAATTCAAAATCTTGTCCCGACTTTCGTACGATTAAAATGAAGAATAGAGCATTTCACAGTGGGATAAAAAGGTCGACTTATCAAGCGATGTTTGGAAGTGTCGGTAATAGTGATATTAAAATTGCATTGTCAACGTTAATTATTCCACCAGAAACTATAGAAAATATACTTTGAATGATATACCAAATACGATCCAGCAATTAATATGATGGACGTGTGGCAGGCAGTGGCTACGTACTGTATTTGATAAATAATTGTATCGGTAACATTAATTGATATTATAGAATTAAAAATATATATTTAATGAAAATTCATGAATAAGGAGGAAGGAGTATTATATAATATTGAACAGTAAGGAATTTCATATTTTAATTTTTGTAATATCTCCTGTAAGTTTGTACACGATTCACAGATACAATGTGCATATGCGTACACCTAAAAAATATATATATTTTTTTTAAATTTTTTCTATTATAATGTACACACACACACACCACAGCAAAAGTATATAAGTACACGATCCTGCAAGAATGATTTAATGTTTCTAAAACGGCAAACCATGTTTTATGGTACCCCTAAGCACGCGGTCGCGGCGTACTACGGCTACACGAAAAACTTTGTATTTGTTTAAAAATGTTTTATCGCTGGTTTGCAATCTCCACGCCCTATCTTAATGGAGTTACTTCTATATCCGTGCGCGCGCGTTCGTATATAACATTAATACACACATAACATATATTATATTATTATATATTATACATAGGCATATGTTTTTATATTATGTCAGGTATTTGTTTTTATTTACAACTATTAAACAGATACACGACTATAGCTATCATGAAACCCAATATGCGCGGTCGCCCGTTCGCGTTTCTTTATGACATAGCTCCAGGCCAAATGGGACGCAATAATTAAAATGTTTTGACAATAAAAAAAAAAAAGCTTTATGCATAAAAATAATATTATTTCCCTTCTATAAAATATATTATATAATAATATATGGTTTAACGAAAACGGGAAAACACGAAATAGAATAATTTACTCACAGCKGATATATTTAATACTACTATTATGCTGTTTACACAATGAAACTATAGTAATAGTTTTACTATTTTTACTTGACGTAACTATTCATTTTTATTTCACGTTCGATCACCAGACCAACGTCGATATATCTACCTACCCGTCCCGAGAGATCCGTATCTCTCAATGGTGTGGAGCTCATTAAAGATAGATTAAATCAGATTTTTTTTCGTTATTCTGCTCGGGCGCCATCGTCGTACAACACGCTGGACCAAGTCGTACAGCTGGCGCGCGCACCATAATAATTATGGTAATCCAACGACGAATTTGGCTGGATCTTGGTAACGAAAACCGGCAAACGTTATCAGGGTACAAATCTAATGGCATCCGATATATTTACACGGTCGCTCGTTAAAATTACAATTAATTACAGTTCGATTTTCCTCTATTTTTATCGGTTTTTTCGTTGTTTTTTTCCCCGCACAATTTATGACGCGTAATTTAAATTAAGAAAATGTGTTGTCGTCTATACACGACGCCTCTTAAACATATAACATTTAACTCGTTTGAACAGCCAATTTCTTTGACGTTTAATATACAAAAGGGTACTCGAAACTCAGATATATATCGATATTATAAGTGTATATAAGTATATTATATACTTGTGCATTAGTTGACGAAATGTTGTTTTCCAATACAGGTATATTCACGGATATTTGTGATGGGTTCGATTATTTGAACATAAGCATTTTGTTTTAAATCTTGTTTTCAAATAAAATTAAAACGAAAAAACGATACGGTCATAAGAATAATGTACAACGATATATTATTTTTCAACAGTTTAGCCGCTACATTATTCTTTGGAGAATTATTGCCTGCATGGTTTTGCCAATAACTTTTCATATACCATTATCGGAACATTGGAATCTTTGCCAAAATGTGTTGTGTTCACATACTATGATACACGTAAATAGGAAATAAAACAGGAAAATTGATAGTAGCCTACCATGCAAATACATTTTCAATTAGCCTTTTTATATCTTATAAACTCAATTTTTTAGGTAAAAAAAAAAATTAAAAATAATAAATAAGGCGTAATTGCTACTTTTTGGGTTATCTCTTATCTCGAATGGAAATAAACCATGTACCAAAAATGGTACACATAGATTCCAGTACCTAACCAAAAATTCACAAGAGGTTAGACTGTTAGACGTATTATACGTAAGATAAAAACCTTAGTAGAAAAATAGTATGTTAATGGTACTTTAATTAAGATTTAAAATTTAAAGCATAGTGTTATTATAAGTGTYTCTTATACACGCAGAATCGTCAAAAACAATGATAAATTCGGTTAAATCAAAATAACCAAGCCATCATCCGCATTTAAAACCATGCCGAATTATATGATTCAGATAGAAAGATCTCTCAATATTTGGGCTTCGTCCAGTGCTATAGAACGTCCAACTTCTCAAAAGAAATTGAAGAAATGGTAATTGTATTTCAGTGTTTTAAAAAGTAGATTGTGCTGTACAGTAGTTATATTGAGCATGCCATTGTAATTTATTAATACGAAATGAACTTGAACCAAGAAATATTTGAAGCGATTTTCTTAAACGATTTGAATGGGCTCTAGACGTGGAACATGTTGAACAAAATAGCATGKTACCTATATAAACTAGGTGGTACACGTAGGCAGCTTGAAAATCGGAGAACTGCAACGAAATAAACACATCCTGACATCATGTACAACTAGTCAACATAATCCCAATATATTATTATATATACATATTGATTGTGTCTACATAATAACTCTATTTGTTTTAGCATCCAAGACTATGCTGGTACAATGACATGATGAGGGGGGTATAGGTTTCATACAGGGCCA